AAAAAAAAACTATGGGACCGTCACTAGTAGCAACAAAAAAGGCAAAGTTTATGAGGACCAACAGACCTTCGAATAATTGCCAGGCACGACAATCAGCCAGTAATGAGATATGGGTCCGTATTCTTCAGAAGCCGGTCGTAACCGAACCATGATTTGACCGGGCCTAGCCAGACCGCTGCCCATCACTTCATCCAATTCAGGCGGAAAGACAAAAGGAGGTCCAGTCGGATCCGTCACAATCACAACCTGAAAATCCAAGTTAGAAGCAACTCGAATGAAGCGTACACACTCCAAACTCTCTGAATTATTAATGGCAACGTGCTCAAATCCAGAAATTTTGGAATTTTTAGGCGTATAATTGGGGTGACCATAAAATCAACTTCTCCGTCGGCAGCTCATAAAACTCGCTTATGGCTGAGATATTTATGTTCGACCCCAGTACAGTTTCCTAACCGAGCGCGCCAATCAGCAACCTCGGTTACGATATGGGTCTGAGTTTAAAGTTGAATATCTCGGCCATAAATGAGTTACGTGAGCTATCGCTTAGGCGTTGGCTAAGTAAAAGTATTTAGATCAGTTTCCCCAGAAGAAACCCAGGTATAGAGATTTGCCTGTAGCACGCATTCAAGCGATTAAATGAAAAAATACCTCTTTTGGCCAATACTGCCGTGCTCCTGGTGGCAGCGATCGTACTCCGACATGAAAGGTGTATTGCATATACGGTCGTAGATTAGTCCACCTGTAGATAATTTGCTCAATAAAATTTATTTCTAATCACCCATCAATTAATTACTCACAGATACTCTCGGCTGCCCTCATCCAGTTCATGTTTGAATCCCGGTGTTGTCATACTTTTCATAGCCAATGTGTGGTCGAAATACTCTTTCTTGCCAGTGTGATTTAAATAAAAGCCAACATGTGTAGGACCATTGTACTCCCATCTTGAAAAAAAAAATTTTTTTTTTCATGCATAGCAAAGGCGATTTTCTCACGACTTACTTCAACTTGACAGAGTTACTGGTTTTCCATTCAACGACGAGATTTTGCACCATATACGTAGGAGTTAATCGTTCAAGCAGTGTCGGCGGGTCTGAGCACGCACCTTGCCTCTAAAATAGATTGCGTGTCAGGTAATTTTGGCAACGTGGGTTATGAGCAAGAACATTTTTAGAAGCAAACATCATGATATCATGATTTCTTTGAAGTGGAAAATAGAAGTAGACTCTCTCGTCATGTTATGTTCTTCTAAACCTAGACGCTGGAGTCGGCTGAATATTTTGATCCACAAACAAAAGATTTTTTATGGATTTATGCTTATGCGCAACCATGTGATACACGTCACCGAA